CTAATATAAAAGATGTATTTTTAAAATTGTTTAAAAAAAATAATTTTAAAATATACAAAAATTTACTCAGATACATTAACAATGAATTATAAAAAAAAAAAAATCCTCTCAATAGTGAATCCTTTGGAGTGCGAGAAGGGCAGTTAGATCTTTACAGAATACTGAGGGCATATTCGTCAATTCGGTGATAAAATCTGCAATGGAATGTTAGAGTTTCGTAAGGGTGAAGTCAGCTTATGTCACGGTCACACACAGCTGGAGGTCACCAGGGTATCTTAAATGGTAATGGAATGAAAGTACGAAAGTGCCCCTCTCCCTCTAATGATTTTTTGATATTAATTTTTTCATATTTAATAATCATATTAAATTTCGACTAATTTCAAATTGAGTTGTATCAAATTCTATTAATGAAAAATCTATTAATGAAGAAGCTCTTCAAGTGTCTATTTTTTTATTCAAAAAATTTAAATTTAAAATTTTATTTAAAAAAAATCAATCCCATTTCACTTAAATCAACAAATCTGATTAAATCTAAGGTTCTGTCAGGTGGTCCTCTCCCTCCAATGATGAAACAGAAGAGGTTGGGTTTGCCCTTCCCGGGGGACAAAGTATTGTTAGCCATTGGTTTGTGGATAGGGCAACACCCACACGAAATGTCTCCACGCTGCGGTTACATTGACCAAATTGAGTTAGTTTGCGCGTTAAGCACGCAGTCGGAATTGCAAAATCAAAGTTATTATATGCAAAATTGGTATAATTTAGTTAAAAAAAGTATTATATAGTTTAAATTATATTAAATTATATAATATTTTTTATTAAATGAGTTGAGGTTTTTTTTTTAATTAAGAGTTATTTTTATTTAATAAATTTTGTTTTATAATTTAAAATAGTATAAATTATAAAATAGAAACCTCATAATTTAAATTGTACAAAAATGTGTCATTTAATTTCTATATTTTGAAGATTAGTATCCCATTTCTTGGGCAGACAAACATGTAATTACCACATTATTTCTTTTATTAATATTTAATATTTTCTCTAACTTAAAATAATAATTATTTTTTTATTTTTTAAAAATTAAAAATTTAAATCCTTGCACTTATTAAG